CCCCAAAACCCCAAAACCCCAAAACCCCAAAACCCCAAAACCCCTCTTCACAAAATCTAATTATAAAATTTCTTAAATGGACTCTTGCCTTTGCCGTAGACCAGCTTATCGAGTCTCATGATCTTGCTTCTTAAAGTCTCATTTTCTATCTCATATTTCTCCGCATCTTTAGTAAGTTTAGTGATTTCTTTCTGTAAGTTATAATTCTCATTTTGTAAATTCTTATTAGTCTTCTTTGCAATATCGAACTCCTGATTTTGTTTCTCATTAAGCCTCTTACTGGTCTGAATTGAGTTTTGGAGATGATCCACCTCCTTTTTCAAATTCTCCATTTCTTCAGTGTAATAATGCTTCAGATCTGCAAGTTTGGTCTTAGCTTCAGATACCAAGGTGTTACGGTCATTAAGAATATCTTTGAGTTCTTCACGAGTCGAGTGATACTCTTTTCGTACTTGATCTATTAATTTTTCATAGTCGTCACGAAGGATACGTTTCTCCTCATCTTGCTGTCTGATCTGCTCTCTAACAGAATCTTCATGCTCATGTTTTATTTGGTCAAGGCGAGATTGACTCTGCTCAATCTGCATTTGAAGTTCTCCAACACGGTTAGCATGATTTTGCTGCATTGCGATGCTTTCCTCCTTAATTTGCTCGGCTTTTCTCTCTTCGTCTTCTATTTCTCTTTTAAGGCACTGAATCCGATGGTGGCTTTCTTCGACGAGGGCATCCTTTTTAGCAAGAACATCTTTAATTTCATTCTCTTTGGAAACTTTAATTATTGAGATCTCTTTATTATGCTCCCCATTGTTATGATGTAGCTTAGATTTGAGCTCATCTAGTTGGGCTAGTAAAGATCTCCTCTCCACTGGATCATCTATCGGAATGAACTCCCTTGGCGGAGGAGGAGGTGCCATTGGAGGAGAATGGCCGATTGGGCTTGCACTCCTTCCCCTCAAAGGTGATGCTGGGGATTTTTGATGTTTCAAATAGCGAGGGGAGATCTCTTCTCTATGTGGAGACCTAGAATGACTAACGTGCACATGATGTCTATCATCGCTATAATCTCTCCCTCTATACCTATCTCTATACTGATGGTCACGATCATGATCATATTCATATTCCTTCCGATGCATCATAGAGCGGGGCTGATCAGCATATTCATATTTCCTGTTCTCCCCAGAATTCCCTCTGGATCCTGAATAATGATCTCTAGAATTTGATCTCCTATAATCATGTCTATCTCTGCTATAAGGTTGTATATGATGAGGTTCAGCCATTTATGAAAATATTTATTTCTAAAATTTAAATGAAATCGTTACTTTTGAATTCAAATTTGACCGACTTCAATCAGCCTGGCCACTGTAGGGGTTTTGGGGTTTTGGGGTTTTGGGGTTTTGGGG